GACTGTCACCTTTGTCACCAATCGCAGATTACACAGAGATCTGTATACCCTCGCTAGTCCAAAGTCCTGTTCCACAGGACACAGCCCTCATTACCAATTTGAATCAATACTATTCCTGCCCTCCCCCAAGGGGGAAAACGATAGCTGGGTAGGTAGCCTCATTATAGGTAAACCATGATTGCTTCTAGTCTTGGAGAAGTGAGCCCTCAGTCCCCCGCAGGGCCTCATGTAGGAGCTACTTCCTCATGAGAGAAAGGGAGGTCAAGAATTGCAGAGGGCTTCTTGGATCCACATCCCACCTTGATACCAGGCAATACATGCATCAACCCATGGCCTGCCCTCCCTGCTTTTCTTTGAGAAGTGTTGTCAGGGGATGGGGGAAGAAACGTTCAAATTATCCAGAGGAGGCTGGGCTGACCTTGTGCCTCCCAAAGACAGAATTTATTCCGAGGAGCTGGAACCCAGGAGAGACTGACCAGCATGACTGTGGTGAGACTCTATCAACACAGCCAGTGAGCACCTGCTGTTTCATTGGGTTTCTAATGCATTCCCAGGCTATATATAGGGAGCTACTTGCCTCTTTCCTAGCTGTTCGGAAATGCGTCCATACTGACTGTAGACTGTAATATATATATATATTTTTTTTTTTTTGAGAAGTTTTTCTTTGCTACAGGGCGCATGCACTCGCCAGACAGACAAAGAGACAGAAAGCGAGAAATCACCCCCCAGGGGGGATGGCCACGCCGCAATCCCTTCTCCTCCATTCTCCTCTCGGGATCCTGGGCATGCACGCACACACGCCCAGCATGAGTTTTAAGCCACCAGGTCCGGGATGCGAACCGCGGTCAACTACAGGGGAGTCCAGCAACATAGCCATTACGCTAACTGCTGGTTCCCTGTAGACTGTAATATTTTAACAGCACCAATCATTTACACTCTGCTTATGTCCTTGGAGATAGTCAGGTTGGCTCTGAGAATTTTGAAGTTCCATACCGGTTTCTGGACGTCATTCCATCTACTTTTTTGGATAGATTTTCAAAGCAAGTGTTCTCCTTTTTATTTTCTTTCAGCTCCCGGCCAGTTGCCTTTGTGAGTAAGAATCATAAGTTGACAACCACCAGCTGTAAGGGTCTGGGCACGTCCCTGACTGCCTAGTTACGTGGGCCTTTGGACTTGCTCTACATTTGTACACTGTAAGCTCTAACTTTGTGTTTGCTGGTGTGGAATCTGGCGGCTTTGGAAAGCTGTTGGGAAGGCATGAGCAGGATATACTGACCTATTCTTTCTCTGCAGTTCGCTGAACATTGTCAGTAACATTTTTCTCTTAAATTGAATATATCTCACCAAATATAACCTGAGAAGTCCGTGTGAACCTGTACCAACATTGTCAAATCGCCCTATTAAAAACACACAGACAGCATTATCTGAAGAATAAACAATATTGGTATGAAAACTGAGGACTGTATGGTTAATACAAAGGAGTGTGAATTGATAGAGGACCTCGGCCAATGTTTGCAGAAAGTATTTGCTCAGATATTGTTATCAGGAGATTACCATGTACAGCTATTTATTCAGAACCCTCCAGATGAAGGCTTGGTGCCAGCCATCCCAGACAGTGAGGCAGGGACGGTGGTCTGGGGACCTGAATGGGTGGACTGGTTCAGCACACTGGTCTCCACCTTTCAGATAGGCCTGAGGAGGTTTGAAAAGGCACAGATTTCAGAACCTGGCCCCACACAGGCAAAGTCGGAATCTCGGTGTTGGAGGCCCATAGGCCGCCCTGTAAAGAGGTTCCCTCCATTGTGCAGTCGGCATGGGTGTCACTCTGTACAGAAGGATGGATTCTGGCTCTATGTCCACAGCAGGCTTGGAATGTGGCCTCAGGTCCATCACTTTCACTCTCAAGGTTTCCATATATTTTCTTTTAAAGTGAAAATAATTTACCTGGCTCAGAATTACTGGGGTTGTCCAATGAGAAAGAATGTGGGCAGCAAGGATTTACCGGTGTTATCCCCACTTCCTCCTCTGCAGAAGAGGCATTATTCAGAGGAAGGAAAGAAACACTGAGGGGTTAGGTTAATTTGCAGGGTCCCAAGTCTTATAGGTGGAGAAACCCAGATTTGAATCCAGGCATGTCTGGCTCCAGAGCTTTCCATCGCATCAGTGTGCTTCTCTGTGGTTTGGGAATTTAGGCAAAGCCTTCCTACCCAGATTGAGATTTGTGGACCAGGAGTGTAGGCATCACCAGGAGCTCACGAAAAATGCAGGCTCTCAGGTCCCACTCCAGGCCGACTGCATCAAAATAAGCTGCATTTTAATAAGCTCTCCTGGTGATTCTTGTGTGCATTAATGTTTAGAAGCACGGCTATGAAAACCTTGAGATTGGGCAAAGATTGTTTTAGTCCATTACTGCATTGCTTACAGAAATACCTGTGACTAAGTAATCTATAAATAAATAAATTAATTAATTAATAGAGGCTTGGGACCAGCAGATGGTGGAATGGTTACATCGCTGGACTCCCATGGAGTCAACTGCAATTCAAGTCCCAGACCTGGCACCTTAAAACTCAATCCAGGCACGGGTGCATACATAGTCAAGATCCTGAGATGAGAATGGAGGAGAAGAGATTGCAATGTGGCCATCCCCACTTGGGGGTGATGTCTTGCTTCCTGTCTGTCTCTCTGGTGATCACATGTGCCCTATAGTAAACATCTCTCTAAAATAAATAAATAAATAAAATCGAGGTTTATTCAGCTCATGGTTGGTCCGGTGGCCAACTCCTGCCAAAGCTACAACGTGGTAGAGGGCAGGATCTTGTGCAGAGTGGCTGTCTGTAAGTTTCTCTTTGTCCCAGTCTGTATCCATATGGGCTGTGCCTATCTCATATCCTTTTTTTTAATGTAAGTTTTTTTTTAATTCCCAAAGGACACATGTTCTCACCAGAGAGAGATAAATGAAGAGAGAAAGAGAGAGAAAGCACTCCCCGGTGAGGCATGGTCATGCCACAGTCCCTTCTGTTTCATTTCTCCCGTTGGTCAGGATTTGGAGCATGCGCACACAGGCTCAGCATGTTTCTTAAGCTCCTGGGGGGCCAAGATTTGAACTCTGGTCAGCCACGTGGGAGCTGACCATCTTAACCACTAGGCAGCTGTGTCAGACTTCCCCTCTTTATGTACACACCAACTTCTTTGAAAGGGTCATTATGCCATGAGGGCCCAGCCCTAATGACTTTTTCATTCCCAAAGCCACATCCTGGGACACCACAAAGGGATGACATTTGAGAAGTACAGGAAAGCACCTAAGCCATACCCTGAATATTAGCTTGGACAAGGAGTCTCAGCTTGGGAGCTGGAGCATCCCGTGGGAAATGATTGTGGGGAGACTGCCCAGTCTGGGTCTCTGTCCCTTCCTTGCCTTTCCCCGTGAGCTCTTCTGAGGCTGTGCAACATCCTTAGGGGAGTTGGGATTTCTTGCAAGTGTTTTAACACACGTGTCATGTTTTGACATTGTGATTCATATGTACTACATTATTTAAACTTATAAGTCATTTTTTTGTTTGTTTTAATTTTCAGTAGGGTGCATGTGCTCACTAGAGATAGAGAGAGAGACAAAAAGTGAGAAATCACCCCTCTTCTCAGGGGTAATGACCACTCCACAATCCCATCCCCTCCAGTCTCCTCTCAGAATTTTGCACATGTACACACACACACCAGTACGGTTTTCAAGCCACCAGGTCCAGGATTCAACCACATAGTCGGCCATGTGGGATCCAATTGCTTTAACCTCCACACCGCCCGGCTGGCCCACAAGTCACTTCCTGAGAGACCAGATCTGTCTTAACTGTGTGTGAAATGTACAATTCTCTGAACGCTTCAATATGCCATTCATCATTCATTGTCCCAGGCATTTTTTGCAACCATGGCACCAAAGGGAATCTATCTGGAACATTAGACAGCCTGCCTCTGCCTTCCAGGAACTTGTAGGCAAAGGGAGAAGTGGTGGCAGATAGTGCCCTGGCTGCAGATGTCAATCCAGGTGTTTTCCTACTCAATTAAAGAGACTCAGCATAGACATCCATCCTTGTACCTTTGGGCTTCTTTCCCCCACCCTCATCCCCTGTCTTCTTATACTGGCTCCACTTCAAACTAACCAAATTATAATTGCTTAAACCAACTTTTTTCTTTTTTTATTACTTAGCTTTATTTATTATCATATATTTTTAATTTGCCATAAGGCATGTGTGCTCACCAGAGAGATAAAGAGAGCTAGAGAGAGGGAAAGTGAGAAAGTAAGCTGCCCGTCCAGGACTCGAACCATGGTCAGCCATGTGGGAGTCCAGCACCTTAACCACCACACCATCTGCTGCCCCCTCCCCCCACATCTTTTTTCATGTTCTTTCCCTCTCTGGTTTGGTTTGTTTTATTTTGACTTGTCAAAAACCTGGATGAAGGGTATTTGGTTGGGATGATTCCATCTTTCTGTCACCTCTGATTTCACTCAGTTAACAATTTTTAGAGACACATGGGTAGAAACTTTTTTTTTTTTTCAAATGCACTTTTCAGTTTTGACTCAAGAAGGTAATTCAGCTCAGCTGTAAACAATTCCTAAGGATGAATATGAAAGAGGAGCTACCTGTTACCCCTGGGGATCTGGGGCCTTCACTGCCCCCACAGTACCTGATTTCAGAGAGAAAGAATTTTAACGGTGTACTGGGAGTCTGGGGCTAAACAAAAGACAGCTACTGTTGGTTGGAAGCCAGACTATGTCTAACCCGCCTGTTGCTGTCTCCTTTCTCCCACCCCTCACGCGCCAGCTGATGCCTTCCATCACCTGGAGAGGAACTGGGAAGGCTGGTTATTGACAGCTGGGCAATTTGCACAATAAAGTTTAACGGTTTATGTCCCCGTGTACAACTCTGTCGATGTTGTCCATGGATCACCTTCGCGGGTGCACTGA